GGCGGGGGTGTGGCGGCGCAGCATGCGGCCGCCCGCCAAATTGCGGTCGCCAAAACTGATGCGCGCATTCACGCTGCCCTGCTGCCGCAGGCCGCCGGCGCCGCCGCCTATGCTCGCGGCGGGCCGCGGCGCCAGCTGCGCGACGCTCAGCCGCGGCTGCCCCAGCGCCGCCGCGCGCGCGCCGCTGCGCGGCGGCAGCGCGCCGGCAGAGGCTGTCGGGCGCAGGACTGTCGCGCCCTGCGCGGCAGGCGGGGCTCGCCGCCCCTCTGTCAACAGCACAGCAGCCGCAGCCTCTGGCGTAGCGAACGGCCCCGCGGACCCGGCCGGCAGCAGGCCCGCCGCCGGCGTCAACGGCGCCCCATCCGCCGCGCGGGCGCCGCCGCCGCTGCGGCAGCGGCGGCGCGGGACCTCGGGCGCGGCCGGGGGCGCCATCTCCGCCGCGGGGCGGGTCGGGGCGGAGGGCGTGCCGCCGACGCCGTATGGAAAGACCCAGTCCTCTTCAATAGGCGCCGGGTCGTATAGCAAGTCTGCAGATCACAAGGCGCAGCGCGGTGCAGCACGGCGCGGCTCAGCGTTGACATTGGTGATTGACCCCCAGCCGCCGCCCAGCAGGGTCAGAGGCTGTATCACCGGATGCGAGGCATGCGAGGACGCATGCGCGTGGTGTGCTTTTCAGGCGCGGCGGCGCGGGTTTTTGGCGCGCGCTTGGCGCTCGCTTTCAAGCCGGTCGCGGTGCCGTGTCCTGCCTGCACTCGCTTTCCTTTCCAAATGTAGGAGGTGTGCGCCTGCATCACAGCACTCAGGGCGCTGGCCCCAACAGATGCCCCCCGCAGCGCACCTGTGACACAGTCCTCGACGCTCAGGGAGCCGCGCACCGCCAAAACAACGCACTTCCTCTGCAGGGGGCGGCAGTCGTCGGCGCAGGCGCGGGCGCAAGCAGGTTGGGAGGCGAGCCAAGGGCGAGTCGCCGGGCTCGTGTGCAGCCGATCGCGGTGCTGCTGGGCCCACCAGAGACCCCGCGGGCAGGCAGCCGGACAGGCAGGCGCGCATTCCCGCTGGGCGGCCGGGTTGGTATAATGTTGACGAGGCGCGAGCAGGAGGGGTGCGAGCGCGCGCACCCGCGTGTCGAGGGCCACCATGTATGGCAGAAGGCCCTCCAGAAAGTTCTCATAGTTGATGTACAGCAGGTCAGAGTCGTCGATCTTCACGGTCTGCGGGCGCAGCGGGGACGGGGCCGCAAAGACAGATGCGCCGTGAGGGGGGACAGTGATGTGAGACTGCGTGGCGTCGCCGTGATAGGATCCGGGGTCGCAGGGGCCCTTCAATGACGAGGAGCGCCTACAAATCTTGAGGGTGAGCGCAGCACTCCAGGCGGCTCGCAAGCTCAGGTGCAGGCGGCACGCTGCAGGAAGCTGCCACGCAGCCGCCATTTCACTGGAGGGGCGGCTGCGGCGCCTGCCTCGGCTGCGGCCCCGCGAGCTCGCACCTGCTTGATCGCGTTGTCTGTCAGCCACTGAGACACAGTCAGGGGCGACGCCCGTGCCGCCGCCGCCGCCGCCGCATCCGCCGCCGCGCCGCGCCCCCAGCACCCCGCCAGGCAGCAGCCGGCCGCGGCCACGGCCTCCGCCGCCGCCTCCGCGCTCGCCGCACCCGCGCTCGCAGGCGCCTCGACAGCTGCTGCCGGCGCAGTGACTGCGGGTCCCGCCACGGCTGGCGCCTTTGCGGCGCCGATTTCCGGGTCCTCTCCCGCAAACACAAGCTCCGCGCATGCGCTGTCGTTCGAAGCCGTGCGCGACGACGGCGCAACCCCCGCCGCTGCCGCTGCCGCCGCCCCCGCCGTCGCGCCGCGCCGCCGCCGTCCGCGCCACACCCACCAGCCGCGGCGCTGCCAGGGCCACTGGCGGGCCCGCAGGAGGCCGCAGCAGCAGACGGCCCTGTGGGGGGCGGGGATGGTGCAAAGGGGGTTCGACCTTGTCGGGCGTGGGGTCGGGCCTGGTTCCGCTCCCTGGGGGGCGCTTGTTCAAAGCCCTGCCCCCGCTCTGCCTGTGGAGCACACGCGCTTCGAGACCCAATCTGTGCAAATATGCCAGCCCCCTTGCCGGCAAAAGAGGCGGGCATGGTGACGAACCCGCTTTCACACACTCTATCGACACCACTACACATCAGTACACACACGTGTGCGCAAACAAGCACCGTTTCACTCACACCTGCCCTCACAAGCACACCAATACACAAGGGACACATACACACAAAACCACCCTCGCACGATGCAACCGCTCCATCACCCCACCTGTACTTTCGGAACCACAGAAACATGGGCCACCCATAGATCGCCGTCGCGTATCTATGCCAATACTCTGCATCCTTCAGCACGTCCAGCAGCGCGTCTCCCTCCCCGTCCTCATCCCACGCACCCACGCCGCCAGTCTGCTCCCCCACGCCGCCGCCGCCGCCGCCGCCGCCGCCGCCGCCGCCGTTGCCTGTGGCGGCAGAGCACGCGCTCCCGCTGCAGCTCACCCACGCGCCGCCGCCCGTGTGCCGTGCGCCCGCCAGCCGCGACGGGCCCCGCTCCGCCGCCTCGCCCAGCCACCCGCTGCCGCGGCGCCGCCGGCCGCCGCCGTCGTCGGCACCGCCCGCGCTGCCGCGCGCGCTGCCGCACGTGCTCGCGCCGGCCCAAGCCAAATCCATGCTCGCGCCCGGGCTCAGCCCCGCGGGCGCCGCCGCCGCCGCCTCGTCGGCCGGGGGCGCCGACTTTGGGCGCGGGGGCGCGGGCTCGCTGTCTGACCGATACAGCGCCTGGTGCGTCCCGACGCGCCCAAAGCCCCAGTGGCCGGCGGCGCGCGCGCGGCTGCGGTGCATGACGCCGACCAGGATAATGGAGGCAGCCAGGTCTGTGAATGTGAAGTCCAGAGCCTCAAACATCGCCCTGAGGGTCTTGGCCAGCCTGGGGGGCCGG